ACCATCACAAGCACTACATCTCAAAACATCAGCTACAAGAGCAAGAGGACGGCCGCGGAAAACAGGGATTGACAACATTAAAGACACGTTATGCCTTCACGGCATGACAATAGCCAGTGGCAGCCAACGTGCACTGGATCGCAAATTATTCCTCCCCGCGTCGCTGAACGGCAAAAGTGGTTAATGGTGATAATGATGGAACAGTGCAGTGTTTTTAACAACTGGCTGTGTTCGGTTCTGTTTTTACTCTTCAGTCATCCACGTGTGCTTGTTATAGTATTTATCATTCAGTCATCGACGTGTGCTTATTATGGTATTATCATTCAGTCATCCACGTGTGCTTATTACGGTATTTATCATTCAGTCATTTTTGCCTGCTTACTATGGTAGTATTGTTACAATGTGTATTGTTTACTGTATGTACACAAACTGTATTTAACAAATCAGTCATGCTAACGCTGCAGTCCCAGAACTGTATTTAACAATCAGTCATGCTAACGCTGCAGTCCCAGAACTGTATTTAACAATCAGTCACGCTAACGCTGCAGTCCCAGAACTGTATTTAACAATCAGTCACGCTAACGCTGCAGTCCCAGAACTGTATTTAACAATCAGTCACGCTAACGCTGCAGTCCCAGAAGTGTATTTAACAATCAGTCACGCTAACGCTACAGTCCCAGAACTGTATTTAACAATTAGTCATGCTAACGCTGCAGTCCCAGAACTGTATTTTAACAATCAGTCACGCTAACGCTGCAGTCCCAGAACTGTATTTAACAGTCAGTCATGCTAACGCTGCAGTCCTAGAACTGTATTTAACAATCAGTCATGCTAACGCTACAGTCCCAGAACTGTATTTTAACAATCAGTCACGCTAACGCTGCAGTCCCAGAACTGTATTTAACAATCAGTCACGCTAACGCTGCAGTCCCAGAACTGTAATTAACAATCAGTCATGTTAACGCTGCAGTCCCAGAACTGTTTTTAACATCAACGCTAGTCATATTTATGCTGTAGTCTGTATGTTTTAGCCTTCAGCCATTTATTGCCGATAAATCTTCTTCTGTTTTATAAATGTCCAGTAATGCTGTTTTCTCTAATCTCTATAGGTGTTTTTGGTGCATGTTTTCTTTATATCATCAATAAGTGAAATATGCCTTGCTGACTGGCGTAGGCGATCATGCATGTCCACAATCAGTTTGTACAAGGGTAGGAAATTATAGGGAAGAAAAAAGTTTTTAAGAAAGAACAAATAGTTAATGTTAGCTTTACAAAATCAATCACAATAAACAAACAAAGGACGTTGCGGTGATTAGCCTTCATCAGCACATAAAGAACAACACAGTACACATACACAAATATGCTCTGACTATGAAGTGACTACATAGGACCCTAATGTTCAAAATAAATGATACTCATCTGTGTCTCTATCAGCGATCTGTTACTGCGTGTAATAGTGTGTTGACGCCCCTCTACGTCTGGACAAGACACTGTCAAGAATCTTCTTCCGCTGTTTGTGTCTCTGCCTGGTTAAAAATGTCTGGGTTACTCTTCATAATTGTCTAATGTCCATGTTTACTCAATATTCTATGTATATGTTTGTGTAATCAGCAATGGTATTTGTTTTCTATCCAGTTTGACTGCATCCTCAATGTCGTATAAGTCTGTGATCGCAGTTCATTTTCTAAGTATTCTGAAATCGTATTCCATATTTTCTACATATACTGTGTTTGCCTTTGTGTTCTGGTTATTGAATGATAGTGCTTTTATTCTCTACGTATACTGTCTTTGTCTATGTTATGTGTATTGTATGATGATGTTTCTGTATTCTACGTATACTGTGTTTGTCCCTGTGTTGCGTGTATTGTATAATGGTGTTTCTATTTTTTATACTGTTTTTGCCTCTATGATCTGTGTATTTTATGATAGGATTTATATTTTCTACGTATACTGTGTTTGTCCCTGTGTTCTATGTAATGTATGATGGTGTTTATATTTTCTACGTATACTGTGTTTTCCTCTGTTTTGTATATTGTAAAATGGTGTTCATGTTGTGTGTAATGTATAGTGGTGTTTCTATTTTAAACGTATGCAGTAATCGCCTCTCCGTATTATTGTTATATGTATAGCGCTATAGTGTTTCTATTTTATACAGATTTTGTGATTTTGTTTTGTTTTTATATTTTCCATGTATTCTCCGACGATGTTGATCATCACAGATCTATGGCACCGACACGCTGGGATGTTTCGTCGTTGGCTACATGATGGTGTCCTTTGGGACAGGAAATCTGGTGGCGATCCTGGCGCTGGACAAACTGAAGCTGTGCTCAACACATCCTCTGTTTCTCTCCCTGGGTAAGTCTCTTTACGCTCAGGGGTAGGTCTCTCTCTAAGCTCAGGGGTAGGTCTTTCTAAGCTCAGGGGTAGGTCTCTCTAAGCTCAGGGGTAGGTCTCTCTAAACTCAGGGGTAAGTCTCTCTAAGCTCAGGGGTAAGTCTCTCTAAGCTCAGGGGTAAGTCTCTCTAAGCTCAGGGGTAGGTCTCTCTAAGCTCAGGGATAGGTCTCTCTAAGCTCAGGGGTAGGTCTCTCTAAGCTCAGGGGTAGGTCTCTCTAAGCTCAGGGGTAGGTCTCTCTAAGCTCAGGGATAGGTCTCTCTAAGCTCAGGGATAGGTCTCTCTAAGCTCAGGGGTAGGTCTCTCTAAGCTCAGGGGTAGGTCTCTCTAAGCTCAGGGGTAGGTCTCTCTAAGCTCAGGGGTAGGTCTCTCTAAGCTCAGGGGTAGGTCTCTCTAAGCTCAGGGGTAGGTCTCTCTAAGCTCAGGGGTAGGTCTCTCTAAGCTCAGGGGTAGGTCTCTCTAAGCTCAGGTGTAGGTTTCTCTGAGCTCAGGGGTAGGTCTCTCTGAGCTCAGGGGTAGGTCTCTCTGAGCTCAGGGGTAGGTCTCTCTCTCTAAGCTCAGGGGTAGGTCTCTCTCTCTCTCAGGGGTAGGTCTCTCTCTCTAAGCTCAGGGGTAGGTCGCTCTCTCTCTTTAAGCTCAGGGGTAGGTCTCTCTCTCTCTAAGCTCAGGGCTATGTCTCTCTCTCTCTAAGCTTAGGGGTAGGTCTCTCTCTCTAAGCTCAGTGGTAGGTCGTTCTCTCTCTCTAAGCTCAGTGGTAGGTCTCTCTCTCTCTAAGCTCAGGGGTGGGTCTCTCTCTCTAAGATCAGTGGTGGGTCTCTCTCTAAGCTCAGGGGTGGGTCTCTCTCTCTAAGCTCAGGGATGGGTCTCTCTCCCTCTCTAAGCTCAGGGGTAGGTCTCCCTCTCTAAGCTCAGGGTTAGGTCTCTCTCTCTAAGCTCAGGGGTAGGTCTCTCTCTCTCTAAGCTCAGGAGTGGGTTTCTCTCTCTGAGCTCAGGGATGGGTCTGTCTCTAAGCTCAGGGGTGGGTGGGTGTCTCTCTCTAAGCTCAGGGATGGGTCTCTCTCTACGCTCAGGGGGTGGGTCTCTCTCTAAGCTCAGGGGGTGGGTCTCTCTCTAAGCTCAGGGGGTGGGTCTCTCTCTAAGCGCAGAGGTTTTCTTCAAAGTGTGTCAGGTCAAAATATAATTTATTGCACCTAGTTTTTCCTTATGATTCTCTCTCTCTCCCTCCCTCTAATGAAGTAAAAAGCTAACTGATTGTCTAAATAGCTTACTAGCAGTCTATCTATCCAGACTAACCAACTGTCTATCTATCTACCTACCTACCTACCTACCTACCTACCTATCTATCTATCTATCTATCTATCTATCTATCTATCTATCTATCTATCTATCTATCTATCTATCTATCTATCTATCTATCTATCTATCTATCTATCTATCTATCTATCTATCTATCTATCTATCTATCTATCTATCTATCTATCTATCTATCTATCTATCTATCTATCTATCTATCTATCTATCTATCTATCTATCTCTATCTATCTATCTATCTATCTATCTATCTATCTATCTATCTATCTATCTTGTCTTTCTGTCTGTCTTTCTTTCTTGTAGGGTATTCTTTTTCTTCTTCTTCTTCTTCTGCTGCTGCTGCTGCTGCATATATTTCTGTCTGTCTTGTCTGTCTCTCTGTCTTATCTTTCTGTCTTTTCTCTTTTTCTTTCTTTTGAGTTTTTCTTCTTCTATCTATCTCTGTGTGTGTGTATGTGTGTGTGTGCAGAACGGGTAGTTCCTTGCAAAGAGCATTGCACAAAGCACGAACTCCGCAGTTTCAGTGACGATCACTGGAGATTTCTGTAAAAACCACCCCCAATCCAAACGACGCAGTATGCAAAAACCAACAAACAGCCTTGCATCAGACAAACGGCTTCGCAATGTGAATCCCAAGATCGCTGTCTTGCAAACTTTTCAGTGGGTTCCGGTGCTCAAAAGTGGGAGCGGGGGAGTAGACCCACTGCTCAGAATCAAACGTGTCGTAAAAGTCATTTGGAGGGTGGGATGGGTGGATCCAGGCTTTGAACCCAGGGCTTTTGGACAAAGTAACAGCTATGAGACCATCTTTACTGCAAAACTCAGACCCGAGTCTGAAACAGCTGAAAGATTTCCAATTCGGCGATGGGTGTTATTTTGGTTAGTTCTTCGTGTGAGGTCACGTCAGGGAGCCAGGATAAGTATCGTGTCTGGGGCCTTCCTAGAGGGATTTGGAGACAGTCGGAGCGGCGTTTGTCGCTGGTTGGGGCGGGCATTAGAGCGACAAGCCGGTGGTGAGCGTGCATTCTGATCCAGATGCTGTTTTGAGACGAATGTGAGTTTTTGGGATGTGTATACGAAGTCAGGATAAAGGCATGGCGTAGGTTCGACATGAGTAAATTTAGCCTCAATAGGGACAAGGGGTAATCTTAGTGAGAGTGGGGACATGACATGGGGTAATCTTAGTGAGGGTGGGGACATGACATGGGGTAATCTTAGTGAGGGTGGGGACATGACATGGGGTAATTTTAGCGAGGGTGGGGACGTGACATGGGGTAATTTTAGCGAGTGTGGGGACATGACATGGGGTAATCTTAGTGAGGGTGGGGACATGACATGGGGTAATCTTAGTGAGGGTGGGGACATGACATGGGGTAATCTTAGTGAGGGTGGGGACGTGACATGGGGTAATCTTAGTGAGGGTGGGGACGTGACATGGGGTAATCTTAGTGAGGGTGGGGACATGACATGGGGTAATCTTTGTGAGGGTGGGGACGTGACATGGGGTAATCTTAGTGAGGGTGGGGACGTGACATGGGGTAATCTTAGTGAGGGGTGGGGACATGACATGGGGTAATCTTTGTGAGGGTGGGGACGTGACATGGGGTAATCTTAGTGAGGGTGGGGACGTGACATGGGGTAATCTTTGTGAGGGTGGGGACGTGACATGGGGTAATCTTTGTGAGGGTGGGGACATGACATGGGGTAACCTTAGTGAGGGTGGGGACATGACATGGGGTAATCTTAGCGAAGGATAGAGACATGACATGGGGTAATCTTAGTGAAAGATAGAGACATGACATGGGGTAATTAATTTTTTTGTGAGGGTTGGGACATATTATGTGGTGATCTATGTGTAACATGTCATGTCATATGGTAATCTTTTGAGGTTAACGATATGTGGTAATTTAAATATGGTAAAGGACATATCATGGGGTAATTTTAGTGAGGATAGTGACATGACATGAGTTTAACTTAGATAGGGTAGCGAAATGACACGAGTTAAATTTAGTCAGGGTATCGACATGACATAGGTTTTATATAGTTAAACGTTGTGACACGTGGGGGTTATGATTGGTAATCCACCGAGGCTGAGGATATACCGGTAAATTCACTGACGATTATAAACTTGATTATGTATAGAGTAGATTATAGACGAATTATAATACCATGGACAAAGGAAGTCTTGAAAGAAATTGACTCACGAAAAGAATTGATTGCCTACATTAGAAAGAGACAAACTACTGTCTTTGGTCACGTGATAAGGAAACACTGGAGTACGTCGTGACATGTGGAGCTGAGGCAGAGGAAGACCGAGAGATAAGATGTTGGATAGTTTGACACCATGGCATGGAGGAGCATCTGTGTCAGAGATGACTGAAAGTACACGAGACAGAAGGTTGTGGGTAGACAGACGACCCATGCCACACGGCATGCACTTTAAGAAGAAGAGACAACTCAGACTCCAAAGGTGACACTTTGTGTCTTCTGTGCGTGTCGATTACTGCCCCTGAAACAGTTTCCTCCATTCTTTACCAGAATGAAAACTGTTGGCTACGATATTGCTAATGGCAAGCTAGACGTTATGGCTGTGAGGATTACCACTGGGCTCAGTACAAGTGCAGATTGTCGTTACTGACAGTTCAAGGCAGTAAATGGCGATAGAAACGTCTGAATGGAGTGGTTAAAAATCCCCTAACTCAGCGGTTCCTAATCTGTGGGTGGCTACCTTTTGTGGGTCAAACGACCCTTTCACAGGGGGTCGCCAAAGCCAATCAGAAAACACATTCACTGCAGTTATGACTTAGCAACGAAAATAATGTTATGGTTGGAGGTTTCCACAAGATAAGGAGCTGTATTACAGGTTCGCCGCATTAGGAAGGTTGAGAACCTCTGGTCTTTTGTTTTTGGGACATTGGCGTTTATTACCAAGCTCCTTTATAATGGCTTTTCCCTCGGACAATAAATGTTTATTCCCCCCCCCCCCCCCCCCCCCCCCCCCCCCACAAATGGAATAAAGAGATATAATTGCTTAGTTCTTTCTCGAATTGTTCATTTTAAACTTTTTCATTTATTCACTTCTTATCCTGAACATATTGCCTTTCTCTGTAATATGCATATTTGAATATTGGTTTAGTGTTGTGTGGGGGGTCGCCATGGTCAAGCGGCTAGAAGCTCGCCTGCGGATCAGAAGGTCGTGGTTTCTGTCCTGACTGAGCCGGACCCCTCCCCCCCCCCCCCCCAAAAAAAAAAAAAAAAAAAAAAAAAAACTACCTTAACTCTCTTAGCTCAGCTTTGACTGGGTAGCAGGTGCAGTCCTGGGAAAGAAAGGCAGCCGGTGTTATGCTGACCACTTCACCCACCGAGTACCGATTGATTTATTGAAGATAGGTCTAGCACAATATTCCTAGAGGCCTGGAAAACGGCCCTTCACTTGTATAGGTATCTGTGTATGTATATGTGTATATGTATGTATATTTGAATGTGTATATGTATGTGTACGTTCCTCACCACCTAAGATTTCCAGTGATTCCAGTTGATGTACATATATGTACCTTTATTCTGGAGACGGCACAGCTCCTCTCATCTTGATCCTTGCAGTGTTGAGTAGAAATCTTCTTTACGGTAAAGTTACCCGTTTGTGCGCTTAGTAAATGGGGATCCCCAGGGGTTCTATAATTCCCTCTATCTATTGCCTGTATGGTCGACCTCATCTTCGCTTCCCGACTGGTCTAGATCCTTGCTTGCTGTGGTATGTTTGTTAGCATCCGCGTCATGGCTAAACCAATACCCTTGATGGTTTCTAATAAAATCTAAAGCTGCCGCTGACGCAATTTTTTTTCTTTCAAATTTCATCGTTTCTGATATTATCACTTAATGTTTAATATGAGACTTTGGCAAGAATCTTTTATTTGTGATTTTGATTTTATTTGTCTGACAGTGTCCAGGTCTGGCCTGGCAAGAAGATTGTCATAGCGAGCAGTTGTTTCTACGGGCAGTTTTACTGCTTCGGATGTCGAGGGAGATATAAGATTCTGCTTCCTACTCTTCTGACCGCCTGGACCATAGACACATTGTTGTGTTGTAGAGTTTCTTTATTGTTCCATATATTTCAAATGTCCGCTCTGTGGCTAAGTCGATGCGAACGCTTCGTAATTCCGGGATATCGGGTTCGATCCCATCTGCAGGCCATGCGCCTTGTGTTGCTTTCGACAGTGGTATCAAGAAAGCCGACCGTCCATAGGGCAATGGCAAACTACTGGACGTAAATTTGCCTAGAAAAACCACACAATAACCAGGGGCTGTTGGGGTTGGTTCTGCAACGTCCTGTAAAGGATACGCAACTAACCTTATTTCTTGATACTTTTCATCCTGTGTGTTCTTTTCTTTTAATGCACGTGTGTATGGAAAAACGTCACAAGACACTACCTCTACGTTGGCAAACCATTTGATTTACTGTCTATTTAAAGTCAATGTAGTTAATGTTTGTGTTGGATTCTTTCATGCAGTTTTCATGCTAAACTTTCTTTCATGCAGTTTTCATGCTAAACTGTCATACAGAGCTAATACTAAACATTAGATATGTCAGTGTTCAGGGTCTCCATGACAAAGTGGTCAAGCCATTTGCCCCGCGCTTTGACGGCGGCACCGTTCATTGCACGAGTGCAACTTTTACCGAGATCTCTAGGGATCTTCGTCGGAGCTACGGAGATCGTGTTGTGTGTGCAGGTCTTGTATAAAAATTAGCGTCCTCGATGTTTATTTCAATCTTACATACATGGTTCATATCAACTATGTTTAAATTTGATTCCTTGGTCAGGGTTCATACTGAATATTGGTGTCCTCATTCTGACGTCTCTATGGAAACCAGACTCCAGCCAATCATCAGAGCTGCTGCTGTACACTGCCTTCTGGGGCGTGGCAGATGGAACATTGCAGGCACAGTCTCAAGGTCAGATGTTTGCTAATTAGTAAATCACTCTCATTCAACATCAGAAAACGAGTTCTGAAATATTATACCGGGGCCTGTTCTATTGTAGGATAGTGAATCTTATAATGTGAGCACTCAAATTAAGAAGAGTTATGAGGTGGCTGCGATGTTATAAACACCATGTACTGACCAACAACGATTGCCTAGAAATAGCTAGTGAAAGTAAAACTATATTCAACAATGAGAAGGGGACAAACAGATATCTTTGGTCATGTGATGAGAAAAGAGCATTTAAAAAAAACAGACACGTGACGACTAAAAAAGATGACTCGTAGAAGAGGCAGACCAAGAGAAATGATTCTAGATGGCTTAAGACAGTGGCATGGAGCAATATCATCAATAGAACACCAGTGACCGGGATCTGTGGAGATGTATGAACGCCTACGCCAGCTGGCAGGGCACTTGATGTTGATACAAATAGTGTAGCCATGTTATTCGTTATGGCATCAAGGTGGTCTGGAGAAAACGATGATGGGAGCTGCAGTCTCCGGAAAACGTTTCCTGCCCGAATGTGGCAGCTGGACATGAAGATGCTATGAAAGCACACAGGGCTGGATAATGTGCTAGAGACATTCATACATGCCATGCAGAGAGCGACGTTCAAGGCTAACTGAAAGATTGTATTGGCTGTAAAAGCACATGGGGTTGGAAAGACTAGCTAGAGATAGACTCAGGCGTGCCGATAAGAGAGCAACGCGCTGTGAAGAGCCTGTTAAGTGAAGATGTACTGGTGACTTATCTATTCGGGTTACTCAGAGAAAGTAGAAACAGGAGCATATTAACTGAAAAAGGGTGTTATGAAAATAATCGAGTTTTTTTTTTTTTTTTGGGCGGGGGGGAGCGGCGCACGGTGACAAACATCCCATTTCCGACGAGGCGCGCTGCTACGAAGAAACCATCTAAGGGGTCTTTTCAACCCCCCACTTTACAAATAGTCTAGGCACAAAAAAAATAGGAGTGGTGGGCTTTGTCAAGCCCCTTTAAATGTCCCCCCACCACCTCACCCTCTTGTCAAAAACAAAAGTGTGGATAAGCAGCCTGTACCCATTTTGGTAAAGTAAGATGCTCCTTGTCATCATGTTATTTGGAAACTATTTGTATAGAAATAATTTTGGAAACTATTTGTATAGATGTTGTTAATACGTGTCATATTGCTGCATACATTTTGAGCTCCAAGGTTCCGCCGCTCCTGAAGACTGTTATGTCTTAAATTACCTCATCGATGCCTACATTATGTCTTAAATTACCTCATCGATGCCTATATACAAGGAGACAGAACAATTATTCTGAGCCCTCAGATCTCGTAGGCAACGTAGCAATCTTTTTTTCCATAATTTGCGCTGAGCAAATATCATGTTTGTGTGGGCTGCAGTCATATGTGGAGAATACTTTATAATTGTGCTGTCTTTAAACATAGTTACATCGTATTTCCTCTTTATTGTTGTGCTCCATCTGTGAGGATAATTATTATACTTCCCTGGCAAAAGACCGGGTATTGTATTAATTTAGCTACCAAAGACATGTTCATGTATCTCGTCCCAATACATTGTTTATTGTAATACCCCATCCTGGCTGTAGTCGGGGAC